TCAGAAACACTTTCCACTCTCATCCTTGTCCCACTTGCATCCCTTTATTTCTGAATAATTTCACCTGAAAATAAGTTAAGAGGTCTCATATTTTCCCTGTCTATTCCAGGACAATCTCACTCTGTGGCAGTGACAGTTCAAGGTCTTCATAAAGCCTCAGTCCTCTGTTATCCTCTTCCTTGATGCACACTGACACCCTTCACCTGTTGGCCACTCCCTACCCTGAGCCTCACCCTCTAACAGGACCCTGTTCCAGATACTTGTTTTTAAACACATTCTAATAAATGTGTTTAAATAATAGTCTTGTCCAAGCTTTTCTCTCATATCTTGAACATTTGCCTACAAAAACTGAACAGCACTTAGGCTGCTGGCTCACTAACACTACTTCATAGTCCAGTCTCATTATATCCTTATTTTCTGTTGTCTGCTCATCCATCTAGAAATCTCAGTACAAGACGAGAAGGTAAATTTCTCATCCTATCCAGCCTTTGTATTCTTCATATTCCAGCACAGTGAGATCCTACCAGAAAAATCAAGATATACAAGAGTATTTCTTGGACTTTTTTTAAACTTTTGCTCTTTTTATTTCAGAGTATTAACACTGATTTGTTCAACGCAGTCAAATTATCTATGAGGCATCCAAATGTTTCAAAACTTAATTCTTAAATGTTTAATTGCATGTTTCTTTCGCACACATTTTTGCATATAACATAACATCTGTGCAATGCCTAAACGTTTATCTTTGATATCAATGACAATGTGTATGTGGTAATATTTACAGGGCTTCAAATATATAAATATCTCAAATGCCAGGACTAACCAGTAAGACCTACAAATCCTCATTTGTAACAACTTCTACTCACCTTAAGTACCTGCTATATGAATGTCAGTTTAATTTCTCAGTGTTTTTTAAATAATATTAGGTTTTTTTAGAAAAAGTAGGGTTATTTTTAAAAAATCTAATTATCATAAAAATAAGCTTTTGTGCTGATGCATTCCCTCTGAAAAAAGTCTAAAACCTTTGTTTTATGGAGTGACTGATTACTATGAGTTGAGAAAAAGGATAGCTATAGAGGTCAGTGGAAAAAGTCTCAAGAACTTTAATTGAAGCAGCTGAAAAACTAAGAAAACTCAAATTAGCATCTGACATTTTCTTCTTCTCCATTGATTTAGAGGCCTCTGAGGAAAAGCTTTAATCAAGATATACGTTGTTTCCTCCCCCAATATAAAAATCCAGAGCTCAAAACACTGATGTTCATGGTAGTCTTTCCAACAAAGTCATCATGATCACATTAGATCCCTAAGAAACACTTCAGTAGAAATTCTGAATCATATTTAAGTGCTGTTGTAGTTCCTCCTTAAAAATAGTACCAAACAACAGGTTGCTATACAAAAGGATATTTTACAAGGGGGGAAGGCAAAGTTTCAGATCAGTCAAAAGAGTATTTGAAAAGGATGCAGCGGAATTCTTAAAAGCCCTATAACATCAGCTTTATTTCAAACACGCACAAAGTTCAATGTCAGCGCTGTCTAGCCAATAAATCAAATTGGTAGACGAGACTTGTTTGGACTAGCAATGAAAAGTTAGAAGGGATTCTCCAAGAAAGCCACAAAGCAGCTCATTTAAGGTCAATTTAACGGTATTATTCTGTTTTTCTTCCAGCCCCGACATAAGATTTCAGTACCTCAAAGGAAATTGTAAGAGTATCTATTTGCATTCCCCCTAGGTGATTGGCAGTTCAACACCAATTAGTTCAAAATTACACTGTTACTAGCGTGCAATAAAAACAACACCTTTCATCTTTCTTACATAGGTAAGGATACCTTCAGAGCCAATAACTTTGATCAAGTAAGTATTTTTGATCCTACCCCACCCATCTCTTTGGATTCAGGAAAACTAATAGCTGAAGGCAACTTTTTTCTTTTAATATAAAAAAGTCTCAGCTTTATTCTTCGACTGTAGGAGTGATGTGGGTACTGAAATATAATACACTGGAAACAAACATTTTTCCCAAAGCCCAGTATCTCTTCAATAGACAAAAATACTAGGGTAGATAACAAGATCAAACTTTCCCCTCCCTCCTCCTCCGATTTTCAGTTATACACTGTCGACATCTGAGAAGGAAGAAAATTAGTTTCCGCAAAGAAGATACGCAGTTTCGCAGTCAGATGTATTTCAAATATGGAAAGCTTTACAGAATACTCTATCAATTGCATCACTGCCACAATCATTACATCTATACAAATCGAGGAGGGCACCAGCCCACACAGCTGAACTTTTTTCCTCCTCTGAAAACAGGGGCTTTACCCAGCCTGTTCAGTGGAACAGTGATTCACGTTACTCCCTTCCTATGTCCAGGCATTGTCTGAGGAAACATTAATTAGGACAGGGCAAAGCAGTGCTAGGAGTGTGATGGAGATTATTCTACAGAAAGCAGGGGGGGGAATCAGCACTGACAATCACCACGTACCACTTAAGCCTGTGCTCTGGTCCTCTTCAGTTTTAATAAAAATTCAGCTTTCTGGTTATACATATAAATGGAATACATGTTTTAGAAGACTCTACTGCAAAAGCGTCCAGCAGGGTTACTTAAGCACATGTATTTCCACGACCACAACTGTGAAAGAGTTGCAACAGCCGTGGCATGGGAAGTGTGGAGCCTCCCATATCTGCTCCGATACAGCAACAAAAATACTTAAATAATCTGTGTGTTAAATCTGAGATGATGGCCTCTAACGTCACATCACAGCACTACATTTACCGATCTAATTAGCACCGCACCTCCATTTGTACACATCTTTTAAAAACACAGTCAACACGATAAGCATGAGTCTTCATAGTTCTGGCAAAAATGGTATCTGGTTTTCTGGCATAACTTGTATGTATTAGAAAGACCTCTGGCAGAGAAGATGGTTTCCTTGCCACGTAAATGACTTTAGCACTTAAAATTACTTAAATAGTTACTCACAAAAACCTTCCAAAGTACTTTCTTGTGCAAATAACATATTTCCCCCTACCTACATGCTATACACAAGTTTAGCTTTTATGTACTTTTCATCTTAAATCCATTCATTTTCTCTGTACAGCAAATGATGTGTTTTCAAGCATTCTTTCACATGGTGGTGTCAACACCATTCCCTCTGCATGCGAAACAGAAGAATTCAGTTCCCTCTCCTGCCAAAGGGCATTTAAGGCCCACGTCTTTCACCTCGCAAGAGTAGGCTGGTGAGAGCTCCACGGAACACGGGTGGGTTGCAGTCCCAACTTACGTTGAATACTAATGCTGAAAGAGAACCCAGTCTCTTCCCTAGTGGTTAGAGAAGCCACCTGCACATGTCCTAAATCCACACCCAATTAGTAGGTGCCTACAAACAGACTAGGTCCACCTCACAAGTGACATTACTGAACTGCAATATGAACTGTTGCATAGACAACATCACACAGAACCACAGCAGACAATCATCACGCAAATAGTCACATTCTCCGCCCGGACAGTGGAAGCCACTCTGCGCTACTTCTAATAGATACTTGAATAACTATTGTGTCGTTTTGCCGTATCACTGTTCTTGTACATAAGCACAATCACCATGACAACACAAAACATTCAGTAACAAATATTTTACAGTTGCTAGCGAACATCAAACACACAGAACAATTACAATTACCCCATCACAGCTTCAAAGATGTTCACTGCATGCACCTTTCTGCATGTCTGTATGTGAATCCATACACATACGCGTGTCAGTATAAAACCCTAAGCTTCCAACACAGCAGAGGTGAACATTACTTTCAAACTGACACCACGGCTGATTTTACCAAAGTCACTGCTCCTCCACAAATTATAAAGGCTGGAATAAAGACCACCACCATGATCTGTTGTTATCAAAGGTGCTTTTCCCTAACCAAGCAACTTCAAAAGGAGACTTACTGAGACTTGAAAGAAGAAAAGATTAAGATATATGACAGAAGACTGAAGAGTAAGGAGAGAAAGGAAGGAAATTAAGAAAATTAAGGCTGAAATAAGTCATAAGACAATACAACAACGGATATGTCATGACATGAATATTCTTTGGTTTTCCAATCTGAAGGAATTGCATACCTTGTGGATGGATGGCTTATCCATGCAGTTAAAAGTAATTCAGAATATAATTTGTACAATATGATTTCCACGTTTATAGAATCCATGCATTTTCCGTAATCAGTGTCTGCCACCCTGCAATACTCTTTCTCTTAGAAGCCAAAGCTTCATATTGTTTTTGAAATACTTCAAACCAGAAACACCTTACCAAGAAGTGCAAAACTGTAATGCTAAATACAAGAAGTCTAGAACATTTTGTATAATTATTCAACATAATTAATAATTAATAAAGTTATTGCAATTATTAAATTATAGCTCCTAGAATATAAAGCACTGCTCTGATGTTTAATGAATTATTACCTAAGGAACAGAACACTGGAACAGGCTGCCCAGAAAGGTTGTAGAGTCTCCTTCTCTGGAGATATTCAAAACCCGCCTGGACGCGTTCTTGTGTGATCTGATCTAGGTGGTCCTGCTCAGGTAGGGGGATTGGACTAGGTGATCCTTTGAGGTCCCTTCCAATCCCTAACATTCTGTGATTCTAAATAATAATGAACTGAAACAGAAGAAAATCCTCCAAATACAAACCCAAATCTCATAATGCAAGAAGTTGAGCCTCCTGCTAATATAAGTTCATTGTTCTTCGGACAAGGCTAAAGTACAGTTATTTACCGAACTATTTTGCAGTAAGGGTGGTGGGTCTGGTCAGCTACTCAATTTGCTTTCTCAGTCTCAGAATATTCGTGTCAGAGCTGATGAACGTGTTAAAAATGAAGCAAACCACATACACACGAGCCAACCTTGAAAACACAGTGAGCAATGAAATGTAAGCCTGTCATACTTGTTACATACTAAAATGCTGAAATTTCCTATTTTGAGAAAAGAGGCTGCGTAATAGCGAGATCAATACTCACAGCCAGAACCACGCTACTAAAAACACTGTATCTGAAGCAGTATCAGAACAAGCATACCATTAAGCCTCCTCTGAATTGCTTCTTCCTCTAAAGTGATGATATACATCTGCTCATCCAGGTCTTCAAGGATCTGTATTTGGGAACAGAAACATGAATGACTGAGTATCGCTCACTTGTTTTTCTGACTGCACTAATCTACTCCGGTCTGTTTGGTTCTAGGCATCGATATTTTAAATACATAGTGTATAACTTTACAATACAGATACAAATAACTCCACAAAGGATTATTCCATTCTGTTACAGATCTACTACTTTACTGTAAGCAAACTTTCTGTTCAGTTTTCATTTCAGGTTAAAGCTTTTATGTTCAGTTTCAATCTAAAGAGACTTAGGGCACAGAGGAAGGGACAGTATATCGGACATATATTAAAATCATGCAAACCATTCCTAGTGAAAAAAAATAAAAATCTATCAAGTTTCACACTCAATTTGATTAAAAAAAAATAACCACAGATTTTGAGAAAGTATATTAAAAAGTGACTTTTCATATAAGCCAATATTTCAAGCAAATATAAATTGCTATTAGAAGCTAAACCCACATAAATTAAGTCTGTCTACCATACTTTCAGGTGCTTTGAGCTTAAAGCTTACAGATAACAAGATACCAAATATTGTCTTCATATTTTCAGACTTGAACTGACTAATGAAAAGGAATGCAAGACCTAAGTGCACCCAAATTTTAGTAAATACAAACTAAGAAATATGACAGCAAAGTCACTAGAGCACTTGCACAGGGTACAAGCTTCTCCCTTCCCTCACAGCACTCAGTACGAGAACACTAGAGTATCTTTGTATAAGAAGCTCTTACAGACGCTGACTACTGACATTTCACCCACATCAGTGTACCCCCAGGTACCCTTCTTGTCACCCAGCCTTAGTTTTGGTCTTGTATACTTTGCTCCTGAACTCAGAGCAAGCCCACATATTTCAGGCACTTGCAGAACAGATATAACAAGCGATACTGGCAATAAATATTAATACTAGTAGCAGTTATATTAATAAGAAAATCAGAGGAAGTCTA